GTGCGTGGGGTGGCGGCTGCTCCTTTCCCAGCCACAGCTGAATTTAGGTCACTTAGCTCAGAGTGTAACAGCAACACAGCTCAGTTAAACAGCAACCCTTCACATTTACATTACAGACATGTGGTCAGGCAGAGTCCTGTGGTTCTGTGAGTAATAGCATGAAAATAATCTGACCTGCAGCCATACAATACATAACACTGCTGGTATTACAGAACTCTGTCATGGTCAGTGTTGTGTTTTCACCACTTTAGGGGACTTTACACTGACATACATTCATTTCCTAGAGACCACTTGCCTAAAACCTAATCTTCACCCCAGCACTGAATAATCTATGTTTTGATGACTTGTTCTTTGTCCTTATTAAGACACTGATGTCTGTGTCTCACCTGAGCAGCAATCTTCAGAGGTCCTTTCCCAGCATCCTTAGCGCTGACAGTGAACTCAGTGGGCTGGTTGACCAGGCGGCCGCTCTTCTCTAGCCCCGGCCCAAAAGCCTTGACCTGCAACCACATAACCAGGTGATTATTTTCAATTCGAGATCTAAACTTGACTCTCAAGTCTTTTATCTCAACATCGGTGGAATTTTGTGTCTTACTGACCTTATTTGCGTCACTGCTGCCATCGTCAGGGACGATGTAGGCCATGAATGGGCTGTGTTCGATGTCCTCCTCGTCACAGGTCACATGGACAGCGTACTCGCCGGCCTCTGTCGGCCAGTAACAGACATCACATGACCCGTCATTCTGGTCCTCGCACTCGATTTTAGCCTGGGAAGGTCCCTCGATGGCAAAACCTGAAGACACAGCAGGTCAGATGAGACGTAGGACTGTGGTTCAGTCACGTCTGAATCCTCTCTAGCATCTTAACAAATCCATTCATGCAGATACAACCTAAACTAAGAGGAGCAGCAGGTATGAAAGGCTTTCCAAATATAATGGGCTCACAGAAGTAGAGGCTTACTGATTTTATTTTTGCCGGTTATTTGGTCCAAATACTGGAGGCTGTGATACAAAATTATTAAACTGATAAACTTATGATTTCAGTAAAGTTTACCTGAGACGTAACTATCAGAGTCTGATGATAGGAAAAGTCTGGGAGCAGGTGACTCACCCAACACTCCGACATCAGTGCCGACGGACTCCACAATGAAGGTGGCAGGTTTACCCACAACGCCTCCCTCCAGACCAGGACCCCAGGCCCTGATCTGCTGAGGCCCCGCCTCCTGACCCACCGCCACTTCGAATGGGCTGAAAGAGTGAGAGAGAGCAGCACCATCAAAATGAGTAAATTCACACAATCCACTGCTCTGTGGCTGTTGTTGTTGTGACGTAATGCGCACAGAGGGGCAACAAATGAAAGGACAAAGCAGCACAAAGTGACCAACAGAAACTTTTAGTGACGTGTTTCCATAGCAGCTTCGGTGCTCCTCTGTTAGAGGGAGGAAATATCATTCTAGCAAAACATATTCCCTGACTGTGTCCAACACACTTTGTCATCCACACACACAGTTTAGAGCTCACCTCTTGGGGATGTGCTGCCCCCCCCAGGTGATGGAGACTGAGTGTTTGCCAGGACTTTTGGGAAAATACTCATAGGAGTATACGCTGTCCTGACTGGAGATCAGCTTCACCGGCTCTTCGATGCCTTCTGCGCACACACACACACACACCCGAGTTATCAGACCATAAATCTCAGCTAAAAGAACATTTTGGAAAAAATTCCTGTTTACCACCAAATCATGTGACAGGCTAAGCTAAACTAGTGCGAGCAAGCTTCTTCACTGGAACGTTCTTACAGTACAAGCAGCATTAGCTTAGTCAGCAAGGCCATCAAAAACAAATGCTCTTGATATTTAAAAAAAACACTGAAACAATTCAAAAAAGTTTTTATGTTTGGGTAAGGAGGAAAAGTTGGCATATTGAGGAGGAAAATGCAGCAAAGCTGGATGGAAGCATGGAGAATGTGACTTGATCTGTGTGGAGCAACGAGGAGACTTTATACACATGATAAAGTTTCCCACACACATTTATGAGTTTTCATTTGCCTGCTTTTCTCAAAATTTGCATCACATTTAGGTGGTGGCTAATATTATTTTGTAAGAGGTTCTCCTTCTTCTGTCTTCTGGACCAGAACCCAGATGTTCACGTTAAAGCCTCAGAGCTAACTGCACTCACTGGGTCCCTTGACGACCACCTTCAGGTCTCCACTGCCGGCGTTCCTGGTGTCCACCTTGAAGTCACCAACCTGCTTCACCCTCAACCCTGATGGCTGGAGACCCCGACCCGTTGCCTTGCACGCTGCTGGTGTGCTGGCTGGACAAGCCAGAGAGGAGACACACACACACAAAAGAATTGTGAGCTCAGATGGGGTCATGGTTACCGACATTCTATGTGAACAATTCACTGATGTGGTGAAGCTGAAGACACTCACCCGGCCCCACGTCCACACTGAAGGGGCTCTTGGGGACCCCCATTCCTCCAAAATTCACGGTGACTGTGTGTGGTCCAGCCTGGGTGGGCTGGTAGGTGCAGCGGTACATGCTGTCACCTTTATCCTCAATCATCACCTCCACGCTGTCCTGGTGGCCCTGAGGGTCTCTGATCATGGCTGTCACATCTCCTGTTCCGGCTCCTACAGAGAAGACGTAAACGAGAAGAAACTTACTCAACAACTCAATCGGCAAGGTACAACTATGGGAAACCAAAGAGTAAAACCTCAATTTTCAAAATAGTAAACCACGGCGATTAGTGTAAGTCGCAAATGCGGAACTGTGACAATATTACTTCCCCCAGTAACAAGTAGTGTAAAAAGTTTAATATTCGGAGTCGCCGTGCGTGCACACGTCACTACATGTCATTTAGCAGCACCATAAGCAGTGAGCCAGCTTGGAGGATGGAAGTGCCGGCATTCAGCAGCTGGAAATATTTTGATTTTATTAGGACAAAAGGTGATAAGAACATTATTTAAAATGTAAATAGTTTGCAGGTGACATTAAGGCTCTTTCTACTGTGAAAAACATGACCTCAAACCTCTTGAAAACCTGCGGCTGCGGGCGATGGCTGTAAAAGCTAAACAACCAAAATTGGATTTTAATCATCGACAACAGGCTTCAACAAGAAACAAAGAACTAATTAGGCTTGTGGCTGGAAACGGATGAAATGTTGCTCTGACAAATGAGTGTAGATGGTTTACACTCTGTGAAGCACCCTGAGAGGTTGTGTGTGCCTCTGACTTCTCTCACCTGCTGTGTAGATGTCAAAGTAGGTGGGTTTGTTGGTGACGTTGCCCAGAGGTTCGATTCCCGGGCCTTTGACTGTGACTTTGGAGGCATCACTCTGCGCTTTGTCCACGTTCACCTCAAACGGACTCTTAGGAATCTGCTGGCCTGCAAACAACACCGTCACCTGCCAGACAAACACGACAGTTATCCAGAGTCTTTCTGGAATTTAAATCAGAGGGTTTTTCTTTCCGCCATCCTTTACCTTTACATTCATTAATAAAATGATAATCCTTTCAACCTCTTTCAGCTTTAATAAAACTTTAAAGTCTGCTCAGGTAAACATGGAAAAAGATAAAATTAAGTCATTGATTAATTAGCCTTAATCCATTTTTCCATCAAATCAAAGTTTTGTCTTAAGGTCATTTTAATGGGTTTTAGGGTGCATGATTTAAACTCAGATAACAAGGGCAAAGAACAACTACCCCCCCTAATGCATTTTCAGCCTAGCTGGTCTAGTGAGACTCAAACTGACACTACAAGTCACTCCTAACCGCCCAATGCCTCTCCCATCACGTCCAGTTATCTAGTGACGACGTAAACTAAAGATTATTCCCTTGATACAACATATTTTTTAAAACATATATGGACGAACACTCAGTGAAATGTACTGGAAGCAACATAATCCTCTCATTTATTTTACTGTTATGCGTTTACAGAAAAACGTGAGTTTACCTTGTGAGTTCCCATGACTTGAGGAACATAGCTAACACTGTAGGTCTTCTTGCCCTCGTTGGGCTCTGGCTTCAGCTGATCAGTACAAACACACAGACAGATGCCAGGTTTTTATTATGAAGAGTCATGTACTATATAGTAACCAGGGTTCACAGGTAAACTGCACACAGAAGGGAGGCGACTACTGTGATATGATGAGAGGTCGAGGAGGAGAAAGCAGGAGGTTTCAGTGCGTACCTCCTCTCTGGTGCCGTCTGGGTGATCCAGGTAGACGGTGACCTGACCCTGACCTGCACTGAACGTGTCCACTGTGAACACAGCAGGACGCAGCACCCTGTTCCCTGTTGGCTCAATACCTTCAGAGGAAGACAACAAACAGTTGTATCTGTAAATCTGTATATTTAATCCAAACTAAAATCCACACACCCACAAACAGTAAATACAGATTTGTGATGAGTGACGGGCTTCTGAAAAAGGGGCGGCTAGGAAAGATGGTGCCCAACTGAGAAATGCAAATTACTGTAGGTTTCCAGGAAACTGTCATGGGCATATTTTACTTTAAAAAAATGTATACAGATAATCAAAAAAAGGCAGAATCATCAGATTAAGTGATAATGAAAATGCCCGACCCTAAAAACCTCAATACCAAGTGTCACTGAGCTTAAACATAACTGAGGACATCCATGAGTTTAAAGGTTTCTTAGACATCAAAACACTGAGCAGCACTTTCTGATATTATGAGACAGGAAAAGTTTTCCCAGTGACAATCTGAGCTCCGCTTTACCACACAATGTTGTTGCTTTGTAGCAAAAACTGACCCAGGATCAACAGCTCTGTACTTCTTACTGAGGCTCTGTGCATCAGGACGTGCACCCAGTCTGGCAGTGCAGAGGGACCGGATGCATCGTCTGAAGCTGCGCTGTTGGTGTGAAGACGGTCTAATGGAGGCAGAGCTACAAGCAGTCATGAGTGTGTGTTTGTGTGTGTTGCCTCTGTAGCCATTTCCAGGTATTTCCTCCTCAGGCTTACAGCCCAAGTCTGAGGTCGAGGGATGACCTCGACAATCTGTGTGTTTGTGTAGCCCATTGTTCACACCAACAGCTGCTCACTTCCTCAGATTGTGAGACAACCTAGTGTTACCACTAGCCAACATGTCACAAACAAAGAAGCTTTGTGTCATTCAGTCAACAACCAGGCGGCTCTGTAAAAACACTGTGTTAATGTATGCAGCAAAATGATGACTCACTGTTTGCTGTTCTCAGGTCTCTTTTGAAAACGAGGCTGAGCTCAGTGAGAATAATGCTAGTGCTTTTTCTTGGATATCGACACCGTTTGCTGCTGAACTGCTGTAATATTTCAACCTATAAAGTGAATCGACTGGTGTTACTATTATTTTGTCCACCCCATTGGATTGGGGGTGAAGTTGGGGTGGCTGTGGCTCACAAGGTAGGGCAATCGTCTTCTGACCAGCAAGTCGGTGGTTTGACTCCCGGTCTCCCCACATGCCTAAGTGTCCCTGAGCAAGACACTGAACCCCAGATTGCTCCCGGTGGCTTGACTAGCACTGTTGTGTGGCAGCCTTGTCGTCATCGGTGTGTGAATGTGTGTGTGTGTGTGTGTGAATGGTGTATAATCTCCCTGTAAAGCGCTTTGGCCAGTGCATAAAAGCGCTATATACATACAGTCCATTTACCATTTATTTAGCTAAATAATGGAAAACCCTCTGTGTATAATGCAGTGCAGTTCAACAGCCGCACAAACTACAGCGATCATACAAGTGAATCATCATCTCTGAAACAGTCTGAACACAAACGGAACATTGTCACCTTCATGAGTCACCGCAGGATTGTTGGATTAGACTGATTTAGTTTTAGCTTGGTGTACCTAATAAACTGACTAAGAGTGCGTCAATGTGCGTGGTGGTACCTGGTCCATATGCGCGGGCCTTCTTGGGGTTGAGCTTGGGTTTCAGTGGAGCTCCTGGCTTCAGTTTGGCTTTGGGGAACTGGGACAGGTAAGTCATGACCGACTGCTCGTCCACACTGGGATCAATGATCTCCTCTGGAGCTATCACCTGCGCGTGAATACACAGAGAAATCTGATGTCAACCCCGTTTCTGGTTTCCCCCCAGACACTGGAACCTGGCTGCAGAGATTTACTCCCATTGAACCCCAGGAGCACTCCCTGAGGTTTAGCAGTGATGCTGGTGATGAGGCCCGGCTCACAGGCTCTCCTGCTCACCCCAACGGTGTGGGACGGTGTTGAGGTCAGGGCTCTGTGTACAGAGGCACCATCATGTTGGAACAGGGGAGGGGGACACACAAATTGTTGCCACAATGTTGGAAGAATACAGCTGACTTAAATATCACTGTACACTGCAGCGTTAAGATTTCCCTTCTATGAAACCAAGGAGCTCAAACCAGGGAAAACAGCACAGACCAAAACAACCCAAATGCGGAGGTGTCCACATACCGCTGGCCATATAGTGTATGATGTATAGGTATTTTAACAGCCCAAGCTCTTTATGGCCTTTACAGAGGCAGTGAGAACCAGGGCATAGGTGTGAAGTGACAGAAGGTGAGAGATGATTTAAGGTGGAAATGAAGTCGTGGACGACACTCGGCTCGGTCCGGGACACTGAACTGTGTCACACCTGTGTTGTGCAGTCGCTGCTCTTTTCTTTCAGCTCACATTATGTTCAGTTTTTTTGCTTAGTCATTCTGCTTCTCAGGCTAATGGCTTTTAAAAACAACTGCCATCAGCTACTTTCTCAGCCATTAATCATGTCCTAGATTACTGTCATGGGTGTGACAGTGAAGTCTGTGGGTGTCAGCTGCCTGACAGCAAACACAATAATGCAGATATGATGCGAACACTCAATTCTGAATTCATAAAATAAGAAAAGAAAGTTTCATAATTATTGCTGGGGTAATTTTTTTTTTATGTCTTTAAGACTTTTCACATGGACAAAAATGAGTTTGAATATCTGCAAAGAAACTGATTTTGTTACAAGAACCTCTAAACCAATCAAAAAACAAACTTAGTACCATTTTAAAAGTGACAAACTCTTTCTTAATTACTTCCTGGGAATAGAACTCATTGGTGGACATTCCCGTTTCAGCTTGATGCATCCTCTTGGCTGCAAACAAGTCGGGTTCAGTCAGTTTCCTCCTCCACACAGCGGTTTGTGTGACATGCTGCTGGCGACCTTTGACCTTTATTTATTTTTCTTATTCCTATTGCAATAACCGTTACATATTTTAGGTCAAACCAAAACAAAACGAGGAAAAACTTTACTTTGATTACTGAAGTGGCCACACTGAAAAAAAACTGAGCAGTGTAGAGCAGCAGGGAATCTAACCTGCGGGATGCCAAGCCACTGGTCAGCTAGCTGCATGGCTTCACTGGCATTCTGCACTGGTTTGACTGGATCCCAGGTCTCCCAGTCTGGACACAGACCTGCAAATGACAGAAAAGAGAACAGTATTTCCAGATCAATACTAGTATATTTAATGGAAAACACTGTAAACCTTGGCCTCACATACAGTACACACACACGCACACACAGCATACCAGGTGCACAGCTGTCCACCAGTGCTCCCAGTGCCCTGCCATCCCTCCAGTCCTGGCTAAAGTTGTTGATTGGCATATCCGGGACTTTGTTTTGGATCCAGCCCAGCAGACGCTGCTTAGGAGTCTTTGACTCTGCCTGAACACAAAAAGCAACAATGCAGTCAGCTTCTAACAGAGGTCAGCCTTTGTGTAGTCACTATACACCACATGCTGCTCATTGCCAATTTTTAATTCCAATTTTGTTACTTTGGGTCTATTTTTGAAACAAACCTAAACTTTGTTTGCAGACAAACAGAGCAGAGCAAGCAGAATAAACAAATACTTTATGCTCCTGTCAATCAAAACAAAATGTACCTGTAGCAACATTAAATTCATTATTAGGGACATTTTCTAGCAAAACTGTTGAAAAATCCAAGTTCCACTGTGAAGATTTGCTGCTTTTCTCTGTTGTAACTGACATTAAACTTGATCTATTTATGTTTGGTCTAGTGGTTGGACACCAGCAATTTCAACAGGTCATCTTGTGTTTTGTTGGGGTGTGACGGGCATCACATGTTTGTAGAAAGTGAGAAACTGTTTTTAAGTCTGAATATCGAGACTGAATATAATCAGTGGTTGCAGCCTTCGTCAGCTGGATGTTACCTCTTCTCCCTCGCCCTCCCACACTGGCATGGAAATGGAGTAGTGCAGGATCAGAGTCCAGACCAGACCCAGGATCAGCTTCAGGTTCCCATCCACAATGGCTTTAGAGTCTGAAGGAGAGAAACAGAAAGACTCTACATCAGACTGACATTCTACTCTCACTGACAAAATAATACTTCTAGTATTACTTCAAGGAAAAAACCCTCAGATCTTCCAAACGCAGGACATGAAGGTTTCCCACTCCAACAATCTCATGATGCCACATTTAAAGTCTTTCTAGGGTGATTTTCATATTCTACTGAAACAAATAAAGATCAGGTAGGAAAAAAAAAAAAAATCATACCTATCATACCATGATTTCCAGCTGTTCATTGCTGCCTTTAGAACATCTGTACACTCAACCTGCCTGTGAAACTGTCACTCTCAGACCTGGACCTGCAGTCAGACTTCACACTTCATCACAGGTATTTATATTTTTATTCTGTTATGTCTTTTTAGTTTGGGGATATTTATAGTTATTTATTCATTACCATATAGTTGTGAAGCTTATAGAATAAATATCAGTATGACCTAATATGGACATTGCATGCTTTTGCTTGTGCTCCGAAGGTCACATACCGTAACAGCCTGCTCCGCAATTAAACTCAGTTACACTGAACATGACTGCATATGATGAAGGGCATGGAAATAAAATGATATCAAGCTGAGTTATTAGCATGTGTATTTCAGTTATTACAGTCAATAAGATTAAATTTTCTGAACTTTAGCTCCCCCATCTCACACTTTACTTTACTTCAGACTCAAATAATAATTAGTCTAATCCAGAGTGACAAGCCTGCTCCCAGCTCACTGTGCATATAAATATTTGACCTCTTTCAGCAGAACAGAGCGCTGCTGCTTTGCATTTCTCATTACTCAGACATCACTGTGCAGTACCAGCTGGTGTCTCACACCAGACACACACACACACACACGCAGGACGCAACATTAGCTAATCTTCAACTCGCACAGATTTCAGAGCAAAGCATTCCAGCCATTTTTAATCTCCCTGTCTACTTCTCTCTCTCTCCAGTACTAACAATTTGTTTCCAATCCTACAGTGCGGGTGAGGATTTTTGTTTCATTATTGTTAGAAACACAAAGGTGGAATGAAATATGTAAAAAAGACACAGGGAAACCAGATTATTACAGAATCATTTTTGCAACCAAAAGCTTGTAACATGGCCTTGTGTTTATGAATATTACATGGAATGTGGTTTGTTTGTTTTGAACATGTTTACATTTGTTAATTTAAACTTATGACAAATATGCTTTTCAGTCTTATTTAAGGGTATGTTAAGGAATTAATGTATATAAGATGAATGTTTAATTGACAGCAAGGACTGAAATAAATAAATAAAATAAACCGACAGAGCAAAGTGTGACTGACAGCACAAAGGAGCTCGTAATCCAGTAAAACAATACAAATCAGCAAAGACAATTGTATATTAGTTGTCCAAACAACAGACTACATGAGTGCCAAACAGGCTGCCTTTGTTTATCTTAGTGTATAATACCTTCCTCACCAGCTAGTGCATGAAACAGGTATAGTGTGCTAGCCAGATGGTTTCCTTGTTGTAACAAGCCAAACTGTTTATAGGAATATTTTAGCTTTCCTTAAACTTGTCATGGACATACTGTGCCCTACCAACCCTACACCCCCCGTTTCATTTCTGTGTGCAGTACAGAGGTGGCTCGGCACCTAGCTTAGCAAAGACTGGAAGCAGGGACAAGCACATGGCAGGGTTTCTCAGGGTTTCAGGAAATGGTTAGCACATGTTCACACGACTGCATTTATTCAGTGCACATGTAATTCACACACACACACACACACACACACACACACACTAAGGGAAGCGAGATCCCATGCAAGGTGCCGGGCTGACCATGACTGTGACATGCTGCTCTGATTAATTTCTATGAAGTTAATCGGGTCGATCAATCCCGTTGAGCTGAATCTGACAGAATCGATGCACTTTGTCTCGTTACTGTAACCTCACGACAGTTAAAACAGTCTACTCTGTCATTCAATACATGCCCTGTGCTGTGTTGCTGGACCATTGATGCTCATTTCCCATAAAGACTAAGTTTATATATTTAAATAATAAAAAACAGAGGCACTGTTGACATCAGGTTCATCACTGCAAAATGCTGCAGGAACCCTTGCACTGTGCTGTAGGTTCACTGTCTATTTCATTGTAATTCTAGTTGTGTCACTATATCATTGAACAGTCTTGGGCCAAATAACGTTTGTGCCTTCTTGCTTATGCACCTGTGTGTCTGCAGGCTGACTTTCACCACCGGGGTACTGGTGTGCTCAGCAGACATGAGCCGTGTCATCCAGCTCTGCTGCAATGGCCCAGCTGTGGTCCAAACATGTCTCAGCAGCTCAGGCTTAGGTGGAGCTCTGGGAGGTGGCCTCACCCATGGGTGACAACACTGTAATGATTGTGTGTGTGTGTGTGTGTGTTAACATTCTCTGCAAAAATCCAGAGCAGAGGTTGCGACATCCTGCTTTATACACTCCTTTTGTAGGACCTGACACACTCCTATTAGTTGTGTAACTCTCGTTTCCCTGCCTTTGCACATTTTCACTCCCATGCCTCCTCTCACCCTCCACCTGTTTTGTCGTTTCCCACTCCAATCTCTCTGTGACTTTACCTCTTTTTTCATCCCACTGTCAAGTATTTCCTCCCTCCTTTCTCTTCCTCTCTGCCACACCTGTGTGAGAGTGTGTGTGCGTCGCCTATCAGCAAACATCCTGTCAGTGCTCTACACTAGTCAGCGGCCTTAACCCTGCCCACACACAAAGGGGACACCACCCATAGCTGAGCAGCTTCACACAGATTAGTCACTAAACCAAACACTTCCTTTTCTCGAACCAGCTGAAGTAGTAGCAGTAGTAGCTATGGCACTGTTGTTTAGTTGATGCATCAAAGAGGAATTAAAATTATGATTTTATCTCTGAATTGATACTTTTGTCATTTTAAGCAGCTAATTGTTTAACTTAAACAGCTGGTTTAAACTACGCAAAAATATCCCCAACCCCTTTGGTTTGTGAAGCAAAGCCAATTCTAATTTTGATGCACTGTCACCTGTTGCATTAGTCTGTGGGTCAATGTGTCATCTTCTCACTGTTTTATCTGAATAAGATACAAATAAAGAAATAACATGAAGTAAAGATCAGAGCGGTGGTTTCCAACCTGGTAGCTCAGAGCCCCTGAGATGTACCAAGACAAATGTGAGGGCCCACCAGGTATCTCTGTTAAACCAAACAGAATACTTATTCTAACCAAGCTGATATTCTTGTGAAATAAGGGAGTTAAAAATCCTTTCCAACAACAATGTGAGAAGAAAAAGGTTGTTTATTTGAATTCCTCACAATTCCTGTAAACACTGAGGCCATAAGCTGTGATGACAACTTTAATTTTAAGAGCCACAAGGTCTAAAGCGCTTCAGTGCTTGTATCCTGCTTTGCTATGCTATTAATATCCAGGATCCCTTACAGGGCCTTGATATTGAAGTTGGGAATAGTTGCTTTAGTGCCATTTAGCGACATGGAGAGTTTTTCCTATTTATTAGACACCACCACCAGGGAGGCGTCTGATCTGTCCCTTATTCATCCTGTAGCCTGACAACGAGCCCAAACATCCAACCAGAGTCATAAAGAACAAGAAGAACCAGGAGTCCTGCTACAGTTGGTCTGGCCCCCACATCATGGAGTCAGTCTGGGATCAGATGAAGAGACAAGACACTGAGACAGCCTGAACCCACAGAGGAACTGTGGCAGGTTCTCTAAGATGCTGGAGCAACGGATCTCCCAAGGACCTGGATACACTGTGTGCAGGTGGACTGAGAAGACCTGGTGCTGGTTTAAAGGCAAAGGGGGTCACAGCAAGTACTGTTTTGGGGTTTTTACTATTTACTGCACTTTGTATGAAGTTAAATAACAAAAACTATTCACAGAATTATGAAGAGTTTACTGTTAGTGCCTAAAACCTGCACAGTACTTTAACTTCGGGTTAAGTTATTCTCTAATTTGAAATGTTTAACCTTAAATCATTGCTTTTTGTCTGTTTAATCCAACCAATCCAAAGTGGGAACTAAACGCCGACTCTGTGTGTGTGTGTGTGTGTGTGTGTGTGTGTGTGTCATTGTTGAGACAGTCTTGTGAGTAACGAGGCTGTCGCCATGGTAGCCTATTGTTCCCACAGGGCGACAAAATGAACAAAACAACGTGAGAAAGAGGCAGAGCTATGGGGCAAAAGAGAAAAGGTTCAACCAGCCAAATCTGTGATGAAGCAGGAGAAAGCAACAAATCCAGGACAAGTGTATTTGTGAAATTCACAGCTTCCACCTCTCAGGTGAGGTCTGTTTAAGTGTGTGTTACAGCACTAATAACCTGCTGCGTTGTTTCCTGCTGTTTAAAGCCCGACCTTTCCATTGTGCGACTTCACTGAATAATGTTTTTCCACCACAGGAACTTAACAAGCCGTAACCTGGAGCGAATATGAAGCAAATGTGTCGGCCAAACTGCATTACTACAACGTCATCACACGAAGCACGAAAGGACTCTGTTATCTGAATTTGATCCATTTTATTTTATCCCATCCATATGTGTGGGGAGCCACCTGGAAGCCGGCCGCTTGGCAGGTGGGAGTCTTGGCTCGACACATGGGTCCAAAAAAACACTGAAGCGTGCAGAACATCTGGATAAGGGTTATGATCGAATCTTGATAGAGGAATTTTTTTCAGAGGATGTGTCACTGAATAATGAGTCGGGCGCCATCTTGTAATCCAGTTCTCCTTAATACATATCGGAGCTTCTCATACCCGTACTCTGGTAGAACTTCATTTTTACATGAGGCTGAGCTCCTCACATACAGCTGAACAGACAAACAAGTCAACAACCACATGTTTGTTAATCATGCCTGCAAATATAGGTACTGGGACTCATCCCCAAAGCTGGGGGAGGGCAGTGGAACAAAAGCCAAACCTGGGACAAATTCCCTTACAGGTCAGTAAGTTCCTATAGCAGAAAGGGACAACAGTCTTTTTAAAAGAAGCATCT